AAAAAAAAAAAAAAAAAACAATGTAAACATAGCACCAAGCATATGATCTTATTACTGTCCACAGGCAGCAGGACTTTCAAAGTAAGCAACAACCTGCTCTCATGAAAGCTTTCATAAAAAGCCTTTCAAGACAGCCAAGCAGCTCCTGGAGGCTGGCCACAGGCTGAGGCACAGGATATGCAGCTTCAGGCTGGATAGTGTCTTTCCATCTGATTCTGTCTCTCCTCTGTCTATCTGTCTGTCTGTCTGTCTGTCTGTCTGTCTGTCTCTCTCTCTCTCTCTCTCTCTCTCTCTCACACACACACACACACACACACACACACACACACACACACGGAAGAGCCAGGTCACCAGGAGTCACCAAAGGACAGGCAGGCACACATGTTGCTGTGGGAAAGTGTTGGTCACCCTCAGAAGGTGAACTGGGGAGATTATACTTCATTACAGGTTTGCTCTTGTAACAAATGATGGAAGAAATTACATCAAGACCGGCCTTTTGTTTTGTTGATTGTTGAGACAGGGTCTTGCTATGTAGTTAAAGGCTGGTCTTGACTTCACTATGTAGCCCAGGCTGGGCTCAACTCACAGCGATCCTCCTGCCTCAGCGCCTCCTAAGTAGGACTGGGATTATAGGTATGGACCACCACACCCATGAGAAGACAGGGGTTTTTTTGTTTGTTTTTATGGATATTTGAGAGAGGGTTTCATTGTGCAGTTCAGACTGGCCTCGAACTCCCATGATGCTCCTGCCTCAGCCTCCCAAGCGCTGGGATTACAGGTGTCTACCACTACACTAGGCCAAGAAGTATTTTTTAAAAATAGTGTGACAGATGATTTTATAACCAGTTCATTTATTCTCAGAAACAGACCGGTGATCTCAGACTCTGCCTGTTTTATGTTATGCTACTGTGCTTATGCTAACAGTGTCACTCAGTAACAGAAGTCATGGGCATAAACACTGTTAAATAAGAAACCTTATTCAAAGTCACCATGTAAATGTTCTGGAAGCATGTGTGCTGTTGGGATTCAAAGCCTTGGGCCAGGGAGATAGCTCAGTAGAATAAGCACTTGCCTGGCAAGTGCAAGGTCCTGAGTTCAATCCCCAGTACCACCACACACACACA